TATTAGTTTATTTAAGTGGAAATTAGCAGGAAAACATTTTAAACTGAATTTAAGAAAGAACTTCTTTACACAGCATGTAGTTAGAGTATGGAATAGTCTTCCTGTAAGTGTAGTGCAAGCTAAAACCCTGGGTTCCTTTAAATCAGAGCTTGATAAGATTTTAACAACTCTGAGTTCTCCCCAAACGGGCTTGATGGGCCTAATGGCCTCCTCTCATTTGTACATTTGTTATGTTCTTAGGACGTTTCCACTGCATCTGGAGTACACCTAACACAAAAAAGCTCAGATCCTTCTGAAACAGCAGGTTTACGTGATGCTTCCCCCCCCCGAGACAACCTACAGTAGAGGGATGACGTTCGACTTATGTCCTGGGATTTAAACCACCACCTTTTGGGTTGCTAGCACAATGCTCTATTCACTGAGCTATAGGACCAGTAAGCCGTTGAAGTGCGACTTGAACCATACAAATGGGGCCCCCTGTCATTCATATTCCCAGGTATCTGCTAACCATATAAGTAATTTCTAGCTAGACTTGTAGTCAAGACCGCCTAAACGAAGACCAAGACACTACCAAGACCAGAAGGTATCGAGACCAAGACTAAGACCAAGACAAAGTCGAGACAAGACCAAGACTGAGACCAAAAACAAGAGACTCCCTTAACTTTTGTGTGCTGTTGAGGGCTGTCATGACGGGTACTGACTGGTCCCAAAGTCATCTGATAAAACAGCTAACACCTCCAACAACTGTCTAAAGGATGGGAAATATGTAACTGTTTTCAATTATACTTCATTTGTAAATGAAACTGTAACATCAAATTGATACACAATTATAAACTTAAAATTGCATCATGTCCCATTGTAGTAGTACTAGCAAAATGATACTGTATGATATCAACTTCCCTGAAATGGATTAGGCCTGTTAAGTCAACACAATGTGATATGCAGATGTTATTTAAAAGTCAATGGTCACATTTATTTAGTCAAACAACACCATTTTAAATGAAATACTGTAATCAAACAATACAAAGACATGCGCCCATGTCACATGAATCAAATGCAAACTACAAATACAGTGGTACCTCAGTTCTCAAACTCATTAGAACTCGAATTTCTTAAAAATCGAACCAACCAGTTTGAAAAAAAAAAACCTAGAACTTGATCTGAATCTCAGAAGTCAAACCGTGAACGAAGATAACTTGTACATGCGGGGAAATGAGTCATGCGGCATGTCTCTCAGCAGAATCAAAGGGTAACGTTTCGGTCTCAGCCTCGCATTCGCTGTTTACACTAGCAGAATACATATATTTAGACGGTAAAAATACATTTAGACAATGATAGACAGTAACAGTAATTATTATTATATAATAAAATGCATTTAAAAATAAAGCTTTCTTATTAATTATTTAAATATTAATAATAAACCATTAATACATTTAATTATAATAATATCGTCGTGCCAAGCGGGGACAGAACGGAGACAAAGGCGCAGACATCAGGGTATCGGGGAACACGGGGTTTAATTACAGGTAAGGAAGGCAAAACGCATACGGACAATACAATGACCGGACTGGGGAAACAAACTGAAACGCGGACTAAATACAGAGGACTAATGACAACAACCAGAAACAGCTGATCACACAGGGATTTCACACGGGGTTAACGAGGGGGTGTGGCACAAGGAAGGAGCAGACGATCGGGGCAGGATACGTTTTTTTAACTGTACACATTTTTTGGATACATTTATTTTCTTACTTTACAAATTACTGTTTTGATAAATGTGCTTAGATGTGTTTAGTACAGTATATGCTCTTCTTGTTTTATCCGGTTCATTTTGTGTTTAAATGCTAAAAAAAACATATTTAGGTGTAATTTTTTGGGGCCGACAACCAATTAATTGGTTTTCCATTATTTCTTATGGGGAAAATTCGATCAGAACTCGAACTTTTTAGGATTCGAACTGGAGTTCTGAACAGATTAAGTTCAAGTTTCGAGGTACCACTCTACTATATACCAATACAAACTGCACATCAAATTGTGCATTAATAAGAATAAGGACAAGTGCTTAAAAGATTCTGACATCTTGATGTCTGCAGTGGCATGTGATTACACATTTAACTAACGTTTAACTAGCGCTACACTTATTTTGCGCGTATAACGTATATTTTGATTGGATCAGCGCCAATGTCTGAATCACAACAAAATGCATGTATGTCATTGATTGGTTGAATTTGAAGGGCACGAAAGGTGAAATAATAATAATGTTGCATTACATTACACGTTGTGTGTCATGGATACTTTTCGTTCCAAATCTCCCGACCCCTATGTCGATCTGAGACAGCAAGACCAAGACAGCGAGACCAAGACAAGACCGAGGGATCCGAGACCAAGACAAGACCAAGACCATAGACCGTCGAGACTGTGACAAGACCGAGACAGCGTAAAAGTAGTCTTAAGACATCCAACTCTATTTCTAGCATGGCCACCCTTTCATTCAAGTGACCTGTAGGGATGCAAATACCTGTGTACAGTGTACTGTAGCTGTCAGGCCTCTTAGGTCCACCTCTTGTTCTTAGGCTTGAGGCGTAGTCAGTCTTCAGCTGACGGCGTCTATGTTTTTGTTTCCTATTTTAGCACAATCACTATAGAGTCATGTTCTGTCTCACTTTTCGCCTTTATCAGCTGCCACGGGACAGAGAGAAAAAAAATGTATATCACTGCATAGCTATGCAACTCCATCAGTGAAATGCAGCCGTCTGCAAACTTAGCTGGCAGAGTAGTAAAAGCAGATAGTTCGGCCCAATTATGGATTGCAGGTAGTGTCTGAACTCACCATTGAATACAGCTGAGTCAGACAGAGGTTTGGTCCAGTTTTCGACCTGTGCAATCTGGCTATGGTAACAAGTGATTAAAATTAATCACTGTTCTGAGCAGCTTTTATGTTTAGTAGCCAAAGCCTCTCTGGGTCTAGTCATATACTTCAGAAAATTTTGCAAATGATACCCAATAAATTTTATTCAATATGTTGTTATTTTCCTGGTCCCTAGATTGCAGTGACAGGCACACAAATATAGGCGATCCCCCACCTGAAGCCCAGGGGAATAGTGACTCCCTTAGTGGTGTGTATACCATGCAGTGTGGTCCTGCATCACAAGTGTGATGTCATAACAGCATGAAGTATAGTCCAGTGCCACAACTGTGATGCCATAATGCCACAGCACTACCAACTGCAATGACTGGGTGTAGTTGTTGGGCTGGAGTGACAGGCAGGATAGTGGATGAAACCTTAGCCTTAGAGAAGGAGAGAGGATCATGTCAAGGCGGAATTAGCTGGCAGTGGTTCTACAGTCAGCTAAGTAATGCTGAATACACTGCACTCATTTTTGGCCCTACTGCAATGAGGTCATAATCATATTGTATGAAACTGAATTTGTCAACGATGTCTTCAGAACATCCATTCAAGCAATTTGAAATTGTTTGATACTCTGATTCTTCTTACGTCATGTAGTGCACAATTGACTTAATCCCCCTACAATTACAGGACACTGCTGCACACACCAGTGGCCAAAACTGTGGAAACACTTCCAGTTTTTAGAGATTGCACAACTTTATTCAACTGTTGCTCTGGTTACTTATTTAATTGTCGAATGTATATTTGTAACATTCTTCGATTGTTTATAAACATTACCGCCAATATCTGTGTAGTGATTTTTAAAGCGTAATGGCAAAAATGCTAGGTGTTTCCACAATTTTGGCCACTAGTGCAGCATGGCTGAAGAAACAATGACTTAGAGGAGATCCTGGGAGTCACACCAGCCTTCACAAATATAAATTCCTTGCCCTGCATTCGTTATGAGTTCTCGAAATGGATCGTGTTGCAGCGACAAGTGGAAAGTGAACGTTTTTCCCTATATACTCTTACTTCTGTGCCAAAGAACATAACCTTCAGCTCAGACTAGTCCTCACGTTCTCCTGTGAACCCAGGTAAAATAGGGCATGTCTTTCTGTGCCCCCTAGTGGATGCAAACACTCCCACAAAGGCATGCAGATCTGTGGTTGCATTTGATATACCCTGAGATACTAGCAGTCAAAGGTTTTTGAACACCACAGGCTTTTATGACTTTTCCATTTGTTTCATAAACTACAATGTTTTTTATTCTTGTTATGCATTGGAAATTTGAGTGAACAATAAATGAAAATATAAGTCAAATAAAACAGGTTTCCTTTGCAACATTGAAAGAGTATGTAAGAGTGCATGTCTGACATCCTATTAACCGATTGTGTGGTGATGGCACAGTCAAATTCTAGACTGTCCTTTAACTAGAAGAGATTTCTTTGATGAATCAAAGATATGACATTTTCTTGCTAATATAGGTACTCAGGTGAACATGCAGTAAATTTATTTGTCAGCAAAGAATATTCAGTGCACTTTTAGTAAATGTTAAGCAACATGCAAATGTAGAAAATCTCAGTGTGTGCAGAAACATTTGACTGATAGTGTGCACAGCATCTCATAGATTGGGCTTAAAATGCTTGATTGACCTTGTGAGCTGGTCTTGGACAGGGGAAAGACTGTCCAAAAGCCAGATGATGATAATGATGAGATGACATACACGTCAACTGCTGAGCTTGCCAAGGCCAAGCCCCAGGAGCCGTACGTCTTAAAGTAGGTCATACTTGGCATTTCCTGACAATGCAAGGGGGCAGGAAGGCAATTTCCATTGTAAAGCATTCAAGGTTCATCAGTCTTAGCGGTGACTAGGAGCTGGTGAAAGGGACAGAGCGACAGAGTGGCAATGGAAATAAAAAATAAATGAATGCGCTAGGGTGAGCAGATCTACAGGAGAGAGCCTGCTTATTTCTGTAGCAGAAACACATCTAAGAAGTACCTCTGTGGTTCTACATCCCACAGAGATTTAGCATTAGGGGGATTAAGTGGAGTGTTAGGGTCATTACCACACCCAGGTGCTAAATGCTTCCCATCTAATGATTAAACTCCCTACCTTGTTTCTGAAAGCCTGCCATCTCTGCTTGCCTGTGTACCCATGGAGGTGGTCCATCGCCTTGGTGTGTGATGCTCTGCATGGTCCCAGTGATTCATGTTCAGTCTGATGCCAGAGTAATGCGAGATGAGCACGGGGAAAACCATTAGCCAGGTTTTCTGATGACTTCAGGCGAACGGGCAGGCATTAAAAATGAGGAAAGGAATTACCTTATCTGGCCTGGAGAGTTTTAATCCTGGCAGGGGGAAAAAAAAGTCTTGTTTTAAGGTTGGAGGAGTCAATAGCTGTTTGAGTGTTAGAGTGTATGTGTGTGTGACTTTGTGGCTGAAGTGATGGAGAGGTGCGTATATGTGTGTGCACTTGGAGGGATGGGCTATGTATTTGAGAGTGTTTGGAGTGTTTGTGCTTGGGGGGGCTCTGTCTCCCCCTCCCATCATGCCAAAAAGCTCTGCATTGCTGGCAAGAGTTATGAGAATCGAAAAAAGCAACACCAGATGCTGGCCTGTTTTTTAAAAAAGTCAGTGATCCCCCGGACTAACAGCTCTCGCTCCCTCTTAATTACGTCGTGTCCAGTATTGCCCGTGTTTTTTCACATGGTAATTGACGGGGGGGGGAGGATAAAACTGAGTGCGGGAGTCAGTCTGGCCATTTCTGAGTAGGATGGCGCTGCTGCTGCTGCTGACTGACGTGCTGGTCCTGCTAGCCGTGTGCAGACCCACATTACAGGGAGGTAAGGAAACGCAGCGTGGAATTCTGTGTCTGTCTGTCTCCTGTTTGCATGGCCTTCATTTCTCTGTCGGGCACCTCTACAGGAGGTGATGCAGGACTTGAGAGTGGTGTGCTCTGGACACTAAATCGGGAAATTATCCAAAATTGACTGAAACAAATGCTAAATAATTCTGAAACATTACTCTTATCATTTAACCTTTTTGGGTTTGTTAGTATGTGTTAGCAAAAATGTGTTGTGCAGCAATTCTGAGGGACGTTTCTGGTCTTGAGCTATTGGGGGGGTTGTCCACCTGTCTTCTCAAATTCGTTTTGTACAGCTACAGCTCAAGGTTCATTGTTTTGAGTGTGAGCAGCAAATTACCTCTCTATGTGCTTTAATGTGTACCTTTTTAATTAACAAAAGTTGTTACTGAGAGAATGACTTATTAATGCAACACAATAATTTTGTCATGCGTGTTCTGTTACTTATTATACATTTCTTTTGCAAAACACTGTGCCCATTTTATAGCAGAAATCTTTATTTTTAAAATCAGTCACAAAGTGGTTCAAATGCCGGACCCTCCTACATGATACCACAGCTGCTATTCATTTATAACTCACATAAACTGTCCTGTCAAATGTAAGAGCTGTTTCATTGGCTGTATTGACCAAGCTGTGAGTCCAGTAAGACTTAAGTTCACTCTATGATGTTCACACAATGATGTAATCGCCAAACAACGCTTTTCTCAGAACGTATCCCCATCATTAAGTGATGCATCGCTGTACTGAGATGTCATGTCACTTGTCTATGATAGATATAGTTTGTAATCTAGATCTGCTTGACCATTCCCCAGAGATTCCAAATGTCCCAAGTATAAAGGCACATATTTTCTTTCTCTTCTTCAATCAAAATCCTTTAGCAGCTCTGATTGGCCAGATGAGCTTGTTATTGCAGGATATAATTTTCCCATTGGCCAGTCAGTAATCATACAGCTCAGACAGCTTAGCAGTTTGGTATATGAGGTCACTGTTCTCGTTTTTATGGAAATTCACTTACATATTAGAAGGAAGCAAAGCAAACATATCTAAAGCCACCATGTTCCTGTTTCTCCTCTAGGGGACATGCCCTCTTATCTGACATTAGAACCAAGCAGCATGTTTCACTAATCTACAATGTCCTCACAAAGTTCCTTAACCAAGATCAAGGTTGGGGGATTGACGTTAACTGTTATGTGATCCACTTGTCCTGTATCCATGTGTATGGAGTTGACATATTCTCCGTATGTCATTATGGGGTTTCCTCTGGGTACTCAAGCTTCCCTCTGCTGTCCAAAAACATGCTGAGGTTAATTGGAGTTGCCAAATCACCAGTAGGTGTGCATATGTGAGTGAATGGTGTGTGAGTGTGCGCTGCGATGGGCTGGCACACCGTCCTGGGTTGTTTCCTACCTTGTACCCCTTAGACCCCAGACCCGCCATAACCCTGAAGAGGATAAGCAGATCCAGAAAATGTGTGGATGCTCAGAAGAGACCCCATTTTACACTGTCACAAACTATTGCCAACCCAGTGCAAGCTTTTTGCATGTGCAACTCAGACATGAAAAACAGCCGGATTACATGCAGTATATCTGGCTTTGTCACAAAAATATGCTTATGTATATGTCTCCCATGTGTATTTTCTAGATTGCCCTCAATGCATGAGCATGGATAAAAGATGAGTTATCTGGTCTTTATAAAATGGTTGCTCTTTTCTATTGCTATATTTTCATCAGTTACAGTGATGAAATTTCCTGATGTTCCAGTCATGTACTTAACTTGAGTTTAAATAGTATGTGATTCCACTTTCAGTGATATACTTGACTTATATACCAGTGCTAAATATGTCTAGTAACTGTGATATACTTCCCTTATGTTGTGTAGTTGTATATGTCAGTGATTCTTAATTAACCTGCTCCTCAAGGATTCCCAGATGCTCCATGCTTATGCTCCCTCCCAGCTCCCTATCACACAGTGGACTGTCTGGAGGTCCCTGAGGACCGGATTGTGAAACACTTGTGTATGTCATCAGTTTCATTATTTGCATTGTGTTTCAGGGGTCTTCTTGCCTGCTGGAGCTGCGGTAGGAACTGAAGCAAGACCAGGGCTGGGAGCTGGAGGACTGGCCACAGGTCTGTTAGCAAGTTCATCATGAAATCATGAGTTGCAGAGCGTCTCGGCAGTCCGCCTTGTAACTGCACATCTTCGGGGTCATGGGCTGAATTGTGTATGGAGTTTACATGGTTGTCCAAGGTTCAGGGCACTTCTGCCCACAGGCAGAAACATTTGGATACAACATCTAAGGTACCTCGGGATTGACAGTCATGCCTTCCAACATGTCTACTCCCTGTCCTCTGGGATAGACTTGGGGCTTACTGCAACTCTGTACTGCATAAGCAGGAATGAAAATGAACAGATAGAAGTATTCTAAGTCTCACCGCTAAGCCAATACTTGAAAAAGGAATAAGACAATTTGGATGACTCTACTGAATCTTCTATATTGTCAAATGTTATAGACAATGCAATTCAGTTTGCAACAGAATGAAACAGAATTTAAGAAATGAAACTCAACCAAACTAAACTCTAAACAATAAAAAATCAAATAAAAATCCAATACTAGGAAAATACTTAAGATTAAACAACTCGCAGAGGAAACCATGGAAATTAACGTATGCTTTTGGTTGTGTCATTGGTTAAGGGGCCCAAGGTTTAGGTACTGGACTGGTACCTGGTGGAGTAGGAACTGGTGGACTACTGCCTGGTGGGATAGGACCTGGTGGAGTAATACCTGGTGGACTGATTCCTGGTGGAGTTGGAGCTGGTGGTCCAGGTGGCCTGGGACTTGGAGCAGGTACATGTGCTCATTATGGATACTAGGTAGTACTAAGCAGAAAGAATAAGTGAGAAATTTACAGAGAGACTGTGAGAGAATGGCACTGCATTGTAATCACCACTGATAATCTGATGATTTTTCCCACAGGGGTTGGTGTTAAACCTGGCAAGACAGGTGAGCTATTATATGAGTCTTAAATTCTTCTCCTCTCTCAGAGACTATCATGAAGATTTATGTATGCCTTATGTTATGTGTCATTTGATATGGGGCCCAAGGTGTAGGTACTGGACTGGTACCTGGTGGAGTAGGACCTGGAGGTCTACTTCCTGGTGGAGTAGGACCTGGAGGTCTACTTCCTGGTGGAGTAGGACCAGCTGGTGTG